AAAAAAAAAAAAAAAAAAAAGAAAACATTCTTTCTCTTTAGCATTGGAGGATAATCCAGATTTTAAAAATGTTATGTTCCGCTTTCTAGCATGGAGGAATGATATCTGGCAAACAATGATCACTCCATTTTGAAAACCATTATTATGGTGTGGATGGTGTGGTTATCATATACAGCCTGAGTGTAGCTTTTGCCTTTTTTAAATATAGAAGTAGTATGTGCTCAGTGTGAAAAATTGAAAGAAAGCGTAAGTGTAAACTGCAGAAAGCAGAAGCTTTCTCCTCCCTGGAAGCCCCCTTCTCTGTTGGATATACAGATCGATCTTTCTCTCTGTATATTGCATTTATACTTAATGATGGATGGAATGGGTATATCATAATTTAACCAAGCCTTACCATATTTATTTATTGTGGTGCTGGGATCAGACTCAGGACCTTGTGCACACTTCACTAGGCAAGTACTGTGTCCCTGAGCTACAACCCCAGACTTGGGTGAGACCAGGTCTCACTATGTAGCATAGACTGGCTTTGAACCACCTGAGTGCTGGGATTATAGGCATGTACCACCATGCCTGGCTCAGATAGTAAAGTCCATTAAAGTAATACTAAGATAATAAAGGTATGTCTGGAGTGTTATGTACATAGGACTTGGTATTCTTAATGTTTCATTTAATAGAATTGATCGACATTAGCATCCAGTAAGTATGATTTTGTTTATCTGGCCTGGCTTGTTGCAGAGTTTCCTCATTGGTTTCTGGCTACCAGTATCTCCTCCGTTTTCCACACTGACCAGTGATCTTCCTCTTTCTTGGTTCTCTTTGTCCCTATCATCCTTTTGCTTAAGACCTTTCAGCAGTGTCTATAACAGAGTAGCATAGATTGGGTGGCTTATCAATAGAGAAATCTATTTCTCACAGTTCTGGAGGCTCCAAGTCCCAGATGAAGGTACCAGCATGTTCTGGCGAGTGCCCTCTTCAAGTCCCAGGTGGCTGTCTTCTGCTCATGTCATCATATGGAGGAAGGGGTGAGGGAGGTCTCCAGTGCTTCTTTTTTATAAGGGCACTAATCCTATTCACGAGGACTCCACTCTCACCTAATCACCTCCCAGTGTCCCCACATCCTCAGGCCACCACATTGGGAGTTAGGATTTCAAAACAGGAATTTGGGGAGACACACTGTCTGTTGCAAGTGGCTGAAGTTGAAACTCTGTGTACAGCTTCTCAGCCTCATCCTTTACTTCCTCCTGACTAATCAGATCTGTCCTCTCACTTGGCAGAGCCCCTTTTTATTTTTGGGGACAGTGTCTCGCTATGCAACTCAGGCTGCCTTAGAACATGGGATCCTCTTGCCTCAGCCTCCTAAATGCTGGGATTAAACTGATGTTTCACCACACCTGGCCTAGAGCCTCTTTTGAAGGTCTCAGAGTGGCCACCACTTTCTCCCTCTTTTGTCTGAGATTTCATACCTTTCTCTTTTCTTCCCTTTATCTCCTGTGTACCTTCCTGGCCACCTCCCAACACAAAGACACACAGAGACAGACAGACACACACACACACTTGTATTCCTCGGGGCTTGGCTTTGGGACATCATTTCCCCAAATCTCATTCTTCCCTTTCTTTCCTCCAGGGTCCAGCTCCAGGTTAGGTATAGTTTCTAGTGACTTCTCAACATTTCCTTCTTTGCCTGTCATATATTGTGGATGTCTCTTTATTTGGTTTTTTTAATCTTCCTGAAACATTAGAAAAGCCACAAAACAGGATCATGTTTTCCAATTCCCAGTGCCAGTGCAGTGGTTGCATAATAAGTGCAGACTCTCACTTACGATGGGCTCGATTTACAATGTTTTGACTTTATGATGTGTGAAAGTGTACCCGTGCAATTTGAACTCATGGCCTACACCTTGAGCCACTCCACCAGCCTTGTTTTGTCTTGGGTTCTTGGAGATAGGGTCTTGAGAACTATTTGCCAGGGCTGGCTTTGAACCACAGTCCTTCTGATCTCTACCTCCTGAGTAGCTAGGATTACAGGCGTGACCCACTGGCGCCCGGCAAGGCCTATGCAGTTTTGACTGACAGTATTTTCAACTCACTGTGGGTTTATCATTGTAAGTTGGGAACATCTGAAATTATTGAATAACTGTGTCATGGTTTTGGACCATTTTGGAGTGTTTGTTGGATTAAATGTTCCTTTAATCTGTTGGCTGTTTTTTTTTTTAGTACATAGACTCCATTGACCTGGAGCAGATCACCAAAACTGAGGACCCTGTGAAATTCCACAAAGCTTGGCAGAAGCTGTGCACAGCCGAGTGAGTACCAGGGACTGTCCACGCTGTTAGGGCAGTGCCACCGTGCTTTCTCTGTAATTACTCCACTTCCCCAGTTACTCAGCTCTGTGCATTTTGAAAGGTGGCTAAGAGTCCCTGTGGTCTTTGCAGGTGGTTGTGCCACGTTCACACGTGTCATGTGGGGAAGATGGGGAGACTATTAGAGGGGAAAGTGAATTCTACTGAAGGACGCAAAGGTGACTATTATGTACACAGTGTTCAAGTGCAAACATGACAGCCTTTCTTGATTTCTTTTCCACGTCTTTTGATTTTAGCTTTTATTTCATCAGTGAATGACCAAACTGCTGGGAGCAGCATTGTACCGTGAGGCTCCCATGACCTTCCTGGGTTTTCTCTTGAACGCCTCTAGTCTTTGCACCTGAGAGTGTTTGCCTAGAGAGTCTACAGTCAGGAACTTTTCATTCACTGCTTCTTAATTAGCAATAGTAATCGTAGGCTGATTTGACCGGTTTAACTCTTTTTTACTTTTTGTTGTTTTTTGTTGGGACTGACGTTTGAACTCAGGGCTTTGCCTCTTGCAAAGCAGGTGCTCTACTGCTTGAGCCACACCTGCAGTTCATTTTGCTCTGGTTAGTTTGGAGTTGGGGGGCTTGCGAACTACTTGCCTGGGCTGGCCTCGAACCTCGATCCTCCTAATCTTATCTTCCCAAGCAGCTAGCATTACAGGTGTGAGTCACTGGTGCCTGGCAATTTAACTCTTTTTGATCTTAACTTTTTTTTTCAATAATAGTGTTTTGAAGTGCTCTCTTCTCAGTAGCTTTCTTTTCTTCCTTTGCTAGGGATTGAGCCCAGGGCCTCCAGCAGGTGAGGTAGGGCCTCTACCACTAAGCCCTGCCTCCGGCCCTCAGTGACATTCTTTATTTTTTGAGACATGGCCTGGAGCTCATGATTCTCCTGTTTCCATCCCCCTAGTGCTAAGATTAGAGGTGTGCACCTCCATGCTTGGCTCTCAGTGACATTATATTATTATTTTTGTTTTGGTGGTACTGGGGTTTGCATTCACAGCCTCATGCTTCCTAGGCAAGTGCTCTATCACTTGAGCCACTCTCCCAGCCCTTTTTGCTTTAGTTATTTTCCAGATAAGATCTTGTGTTTTTGCCTGGGGCGGTCTGGACGGTGATCCTCCTATTTATACCTCCATGCATAGCTGGGATGGCAGGAGTACACCACCATACCAAGCTTTATGGGTTGAGATGGGGTCTCACTAACTTTTTGCCTGGGCTGGCCTTAACTCTCAATTCTCCCCATTTCTGCCTCTCCAGTAGCTGGGAATACAGGTGTGACCCACCATGCCTGACCTTCAGTGGCATTCTTAATTGAGTTTTCCAGTTATGATGGGAGGATGCCACAAAGATCTATCAGAAAATACCTATTTCTGGGTGCCAGTGGCTCATGCCTGTAATCCCAGCTACTTAGGAGACTGAGATCAGGGGGATTGAAGTTTGAAGCCAGCCTGGCAAATAGTTTGTGAGACCCCCATCTCCAAAATAACCAGAGCAAAATGGACTGGAGGTGTGGCTCAAACTGTAGAGAGCCTGCTTTGCAAGCACAAAGCCCTGAGTTCAAATCCCAGTCCCACAAAATGAAAGAAAGAAAATATCTGTCATGGTCAGTGGTCATAAATTGTCATAACTTCTTCATAACATTGAGAGGATTTCGAGAAGAAGATACAGGACGTGTACCGGTGCCATTGGTCTTGATAATACACCTCAGACACGCTCACCAGTGATTGGCCTAGCATTGCATTTGGGACCGGCAAATGTGAATGACCGAATGCACGGGTTTTAAAAGCTTTACCTTCATCTTGTGTTGATTTCAGTGGTGTTCTCGTGCCTGGAGGCTTTGGAATCAGGGGAACACTGGGAAAACTTCAGGCGATTTCGTGGGCAAGGACAAAGAAGATCCCATTTCTGGGTAAAATTCATGTTTCTTGGTCCGTTTTATTAGATTTTCTATACATGGTAGGTGTCACATCCTCTTACAGGCAACACTTAATAAGGTGTTTTTTTTTTTTTGAGAGAGAGAGAGAGGGTCTTACTATGTTGCTCTGGCTGAAGCTTGAACTTTTTTTTTGGTGGTGGTACTGGGGTTTGAACTTAGGGCCTCACACTTGCTAGGCAGGTACTCTACCATTTGAGCCACTCTGCCAGTCCTGTTTGTGTTGCATATTTTTCTGATAGTATCTCAAGAACTATTTGCCTGAGCTGGCTTCAAACTGTGATCCTCCTGAGTAGCTAGCATTACAGGCGTGAACCACTGGCATCCATCTTGACTTTGATCTTCCTCAGCCTCCCAAGTGCTGGACTTACAGACCTGCACCACCACTCCCAGCATAGGGTTTGTTATTGTGAAGGTGTGAACTTTGATTTGAAAGTTCAGGTACCAAATAGTCCGCTACAGAGATTAGCAAATAGATCTAATAGATCAGTTCTGGCTTGTGGCCTGTTTTTGTAAATAAAGTTTTATTGTAATACTATGCCATACCAATTTGTTTTGCATATTGTCCATGGCTGCTCTGTCAGCAGGGTTCAAGACCCTGTGGTTTGGAAATCCCAGAATCTTTACCGTCTGACACTTTACAGAAAAAATTTGCCCCCTGGGAGAACCTGCTATTGTTCTGCCATGTTCTAGGTAGCAAGAGGCTGGGAGAAGTCTCAGTGTACCCCTGCTCTTACCTTCTCTGATTCCTACCCCAACCCATCCTCTTCCCATTTCAAGCAAAGAACCATTCAACAGAACTCCAAAATTGACTTTCTGTTCAGAAAAGTGTTTTAAGTTGAAATGTATGTGTTCATTCCAGAAAAGATAATATGGAAATACCAGCCAATGTCAATGTCACACAAACAGCTCTGTTAAAATTTGAAATTTGATTGAGTCAGGTCTCTTTTAAGAGTTGGGGACCTCACTATGGTACCCAGGCTGGCTTTAAACTCCTGGGCTCAAGTGACCCTCCAACCCCAGCCTCCCAAGTGCTGGAACTATTGACACGTACCGCTGTGCCCTGCACAGAGTTGGGTCTTTTTAATGTCATTATACAAATGGCAAAGCATAGTTTCTGTAGCAGCAAGAGTAGATGAAACGGGCCCTTGACGTATGTGCTAAAGGCATTTGTGTATCTGGGGATTTGGGCAGGAGTGGGAGAGCTGAGAAGTCCAGGTTCCTGCTGCGCTTCAGACGTTCTGGTGGATTTATAAACTAGTGGATGGGCTTTGTTGCTTTTTGCTATCAGCAGCCTTTGTTTTTCCCACTGTCTGCTCTTTGATTAGCAGGGATCTCCCTTGGGATCCCTTTTCAAAAGAGAAGCCAGGAGTAGTTAGTTATTTGGTACTTGTTCTGCTGTACCTTGGTCTAAGCTCATCTGGACTTGTTTTGAAGTTTCTATCTGAACTGGGTTTCCATCTAAATGGTTAAAGTTCCTAAGATAATTTTCCCTGTATAGGATGGTATGCAAATCTTTAACTTTTTTTTTTTTGGTGGTGATACTGGGGTTTGAACTCAGGGCTTCATGCTTGCTAGGCAGCCATTCTGCTTGAGCCACTCTGCCACCCCTTTTTTGGATTTGTTTCTGATAGAGTCTCTCTATGTAGCCCAGGCTGGCCTTGACCTTCTCATCCTCCTGCCTTGGCCTCCCGAGTACTGGAATTATAGATGTGTATCACCAAGCTCGGCTCTTTTAGCTTTCTCTTTAGCACCACTTCTTTTTTATGCCCAGCCACCCGAAGTGCCCCAGACACTTGGCCCTTTTCTGCTTATTGACTTTTGTTCTGGCATGCTAGGTTATTGATTGCTTCCTCCTTTGCCCCGCTCTTGTACCTTGTGTGCCTTGTGTATATCCAACAGCATCTGCTAGGGTCCTTGGTGGGCTGCAGACCCTGTGGCAACAGGTCTGGGGTGCCATGGGTCTGTGTTTTCTGCCATCATTTAAGCTCCCTGTTCAGTTCCATTTTGCATGTCCTTCCCTGCTGTCTATCAGCCCCTCCAGCTGCTGCTGCTTTCTCACAGTGAAGGTTATGGGGTCACTCTCAGACTAGCAGCCTGAGGCAACTTAGATCCCAGCCCTCTGGCCAGCCTGAGGTTGCCTCCGGCCCAGGTTGGATTTTGGCTGTGAAATCTCCCTGACGAAGGGGAGTGTGAGCCCCAGAGAGACTCCCTCTTGAGTTGGGGTGTTGTTAGGTATGCTCTGATGCCTTGATTTGGGGAAAGATGTGGAAGGTGGCAGATTTACCTCCTGGAAGCTTGTTCTCGCCTCTTCTATCCTCAGCTTCCTTCGTGCTCAACTCTGGGCTTTTGGTTGCTCCTTGGTGGTCTAACCCCCTTCCCTGCTCTGCCCGGGACTGTGCTGAGTGCCGAGGGGGTAGCAGGGAATAAAACAGGCAGTCTTGCTCTTTTGGAGTCTGCATTCTAGACGTGCGCAGAAAATGTGAATAAATATGGAATGTATTCGTTTGCTTTCTATGTCTTTTCGCAATAGGAGTGTGCCTCGGGATGCAACTAGCAGTGATAGAGTTTGCAAGAAACTGCCTTAACTTGAAAGGTAAGTCTGAGGTTTGCTTATAACCATTCATTTAAAAAAATATATTGCTTAAACTATTTTCAGTAATGTTGGGAAATTACTGTACTCTTTCTTTATCTTCAGATGCTAATTCCACAGAATTTGAGCCAAATGCCCCAGTTCCTTTGGTAAGTGGCTTATTTTTCTTTCTGGGTCCAGTCACTGAATTTTGTTTCTGACTCTTGGATAAACTCATAAGGGGCAATTACTGTTTTTTTTCCTTACGTTGCCAAAACATTTAAAATTATACATGAGTTTATTATTACCTATTATTTTTGCATCAAACTTCATTGTTCTTGATAGTCTGTCTCGTCAGCTGTGTCTTGAAGAAACACATGGTCCTGGCCTGATTTCTCTTCACCACAGCTTTCAAGCTTAATGTTTAGGAAAGGCTTAAATCGTCTGTGACAACAATTTATAACAGCTAATATAAATAAATGATCTGTCCTGTCTCCAGACTCGTTCCCAGTCTGTCTATTTTCCACATTGGTGGCCATCTATCTTTCTATAACAAAAGTGACAACCATCCTGCTGCTGGTCCTCATTTCCCGCCAATTTTTTTCCCTAAATTATTTAGTCCAGGATTCTTGGCTGGAACCCGAAGGCTGTTGTGCTCTGTTACATGCCGTTTTGCTAATTTGTTCCCTGGCATCCCCGTTCCTCCCTCACTTTGGGTTTTATGCTTGGACAATGTGTTTTCACCTGAAGCCTGAGGTACCCCATCTATACCTGAGATGCCCCTCTTCTTACAGTCTCCCTCCCCCTGGAATCTCAATAAAACCAGGGAAGAATTTAACTAACACAACTTCCTCTTTGTACTGGGACGCCTTTCCTGACCCCTGTCTTTCCCTGCCTCTGTTGTGCTGCACTCTGTACTAACAGAGCTCGCTGTGCATGGTCATGATTGGCCTGTAGCCTGCCTGGTCCCTAGTCACCTGTGCGCACCCAACTATGTCCCTGCTGCCTGGTACCCACCTCTAACAGAGTGTGCAGCTCACAGTTGTGATTGTGGGTTTGTTTTTAACAGCTTTATTGAGATGTAATTCACATTCCGCAAATTTTAGCCATTTGAAGTGGACCATCCAGTGTCTTTTAGTATGTTCACAGAACTGTGTCAGTATTACAGCAGTTAATTTGGCATGATTTTCATTACTTCAAAAAGAAACCCCATACCTCTGAACTGACACCCCAAGCCGTCTGTTGTTTCTGGCCCCTCTACCTCCACTTTTTTTTTTTTGGTGGCATTGGGGTTTGAACTCAGGCCTCATGTGTGCTAGGCAGATGCTCTTATCACTTGAGCTAGTCTTCTAGCCCTTTTTTGTGATGGATTCTTTTTGAGATAGGATCTTGAGAACTATTTGCCTAGCCTGGCTTCAAACCTCGATCCTCTTGATCTCTGCCTCCTGAGTAGCCAGGATTACAGGTGTGAGCCACTGGTGCCACGGCTCAATCTACTTTCTATCTCTTGGATTTGTCTGTTCTAGTCATTTCATATAAATGCAATCACATGTGGCCCTCTGTGATTGGCTTCTTTCACTTGGCCTAATGTTTTCAGTGTCTGTCTCTGTTGCAGTATGGATCAATACTTAATTTCTTTTTTATGGCTAAATAATATTCCATTGTATGGACATGTACATTTTAAAATCTGTTCATCTACTGATGGATATTTGGGTTGTTTTCATTTGGGGCCATTGTGAATGATGTTGCAGTGAACCTTCATGTAGAAGCTTTGATGTGGGCATGCTTCCATTTTACTTGGAGTGGAGTTGCTGGGTCATAGCTAACTGTTTACTCAAACACTGAGGAACACTGAGGAACTGCTAGACTGTTTTCCAGAGTGGCTGCAACATTTTACCTGTCAGTATGTTTTTTTCTCTTTTTTGGTGGGGTACTGGGGTTTGAACTCAGGCCTTTGTGCTTGTGAGACAGACTCTCTACTACTTGAGCCATGTCTCCGGCCCATTTTGCTCTGATTATTTTTCAGTTAGGGTCTCGTTTTCTTGTGCAGGCTAGCCTGGAATGTTCTCTTTGTATTTTAAGCTTCCTGCTGTAGCTGGGATGACTGGCGTGCACCACCATGCCCAGCTTCTTTCCCTGGAGATGGGATCTCAAAAAACTTTTTTGCCAGGCTGGCCTGGAACCATAATCCTTCTAATCATAGCTTCCCATATATCTTAGCATCCTAAGGTGTTGTAGCCAGCTGTTGGTTCATATGGGGTCTCACCAACTCTCTGCCTGGCTGGCTTGAACCACAATTCTCCTCATCTCTGCTTCTGAAGTACTTAGGACTATAGGTATGAGCCACCTGTGCTCAGCTCTGTCTGTCTTTTTTTAATCGTAGCCATCCTAGTGAACAGAATGTGGCATTTCTTTGTGACTTTGATTTGCATTTCCCTTATGGCCAAGGATATTGAGTATCTTTCATGTGTTTAATGGTCACTTGGACGTCTTTTTTGGAGAAATGTCAATTGACCTCCTGTGCCTATTTCAAAATTGGGTTGTTTCTGTTTTTACTCTCAAGTTGTATAAGTTCTTTATATATTCTAGATAAAATTCCTTATCAGTTGTATGATTTGTGCTATTGATATTTTGGGCTAGATTGTTCTTTGTTGTATATGAGGGGCTAGGTGCCAGTAGCCTTGCCCCCAATTGTGACATTAAAAATACCTTCCGCTATTACCACAGGTCCGCTGGGCCGCCAGAATTGCCCCATTGAAAATCACTGACTTAGAGAAGTTTATTTATTCATTTATTTATTTATTTTTCACAGACTGGGGTTTGAACTCAGGGCCTACACCTTGAGCCACTCCACTAGCCCTTTTTTGTGATGGATGTTTTTGGAGACAGGGTCTCGTGAATTATTTGCCCAGGCTGGCTTTGAATCATGATCCTCCTGATCTCTGCCTCCTGAGTAGCTAGGATTACAGGCATCTGGCGGTAAATTTTTGTATATAGAATTCTAGTCTTTTTTGTTTTTCAAATTTATTTTGCAGAGTAGCTTCTGTTCTTATCCCATTCAGCCTCTTCCCCTTGCCTTATAGCAACTGTTAGTTCTTGGTTTATCTTTCCTTCTTCTTCTTTTTTTTAACTTTTTTTATCTTTGGAGGGACTGGGGTTTGAATTTAGGGTTTTCCACTTGCTATGGTTGATTTGGAGATGGGGTCTCGAGAACTGTTTGCCCGGGCTGGCCTCCAATCATGATCTCACCCTCCTAAGTAGCTAGGATTACAGGCTTGAGCCATCAGTGTCCGGCTGTCTTTCCATTTAAAAAATGTAAGTAAACCTGCATGTCTGCCTGTAGCCCCCTCTGCCTTTTTAGAGAAATGGTGGCTGACTCTGCACATTTCTGCTTGGCTTTTTTCACTTGATACTCCGTGCTGGAGATCACCCCACGGAAGGATATAGAAGTTCTTCATGCCTTTTCATAGCTTTCAATTCAAGCCATAATGAACCATAACTTCCCAACCAGATGGTACTTTTAAGTCTTATGCTCAGAAGGTCTAATATTAGTGGAGATTCCTTATGAAGCTTTAATATAAATGTATTTCCTGACTAAAAGCTCTGATATTCTTCTCAAAGACATACTTCGGGTTAGGAAGTGATTGTACCAGTAGGTGCCACTGTTACATCGCTTTGGCGAGGTTAAGTCTTCGATGAGTATTTCTCTCTCTCTTTCTCTATCTGTCTCACTCTCTTGCTTTTTCTCTCTCTCTCTGTACTCTCGTCTACCCACTTGCATATATAGATACATAGTCCCTTTTGCGGGGCAGCCCTGGGGACTGAGTCTAAGGGCCTCATACATAGTATGCAAGTACCCTACCACTGAGCCACCCCTCCATTCCTGTATTCCCTCTTAAAAAATATTTATGCTAGCATGTCTGAGACATTGTTCCCAGCTCTCTGTCTCTGTCTCTGTCTCTCTGCCTCCCTTTCTCCTTCCCTCCCTCTTTTCCTACTTCCCCCCAATCTGGTGGTACTGGGGTTTGAACTCAGGGCCTGCCCCACCTTGCGTTTTGTACTGCTCAGCCCACATCTTTTCCGGTTTGTCCTGCCGTGTGCTGTATGGATGCTTGTGTGTTTATTTGACCTGTCTTGTATTTAGGTTGTGCCTTGTATTCATTAACCTTAAGTCATGCTGCAAATGAGTGTTGGTGTCCATATGTCCTGCACCCTTACGTGAGCACAGCTGTGGGATGCAGTCCTGTGAGCGAGTTGCTGAGTCAGAGGAGAAGTGCATTTTATACTTTGATGGCTCCTGTACACATAAGTGAGATGAGAACAATAAAACCTAATTGCTACTGAACATCTTTATAGGTTGCAGTCAGTTTGCTAGAGAAAAATAGCCTTAAGAACGGGTGTTTGCGCTGATGGCCTTATTAAAGGAAAAGACTAAAGGTGGTGAACTCACAGGCAGCCAATACCATGTAGCCCAGGAATGGCTTTCCTTTAGTGAATGATGGCTACTTAATGGGCCATGGTTGTTCTTGCTCTGCTAGCTAAAAGAAAACCAACCAATTTGGAAACTAGGAGTCTTTTTAGGGTATATTTGCTGCTAAAATCTGCTTCATGGGCCATCGTGACCCTTCTCTGTCATGGTTGCATATAAAGTCAGTGGAGACACTGGCACCCAGAACAGAGCTGAGAGGAGGCAGATCTTGTACCCCTAAAGGGACAAATAGATTTATCTCTAAGGGTTAAGCTAGATGCTGAGACTCGGAGGACCTAGGACAGAGTGTCAAATGTATTGTCTTGTGTCATTTCTGTGTGCTTCATCCACAAGGTAATAATAGGCTCTGAGATGTTGCAGAATATTTGGAGATCTGCAGCAGCTCTGGTCTTTTGACCTTCTGAACCTTGCTTACCAGGAAGACAGCTGACTTACGTTTTATCTGTGTGTCAGTCTCACCGTAGCTCGTGACATCCTTGACCTTGACTTTGGTTTCATATCTCTTCAGTTCCTCTGGAGGGTGGTTGATGGCACTGTGAACATTTAGAACATTTTTTTTGTTGTGCTGGGTGGGGGTACACTGTGGCATTTACAAGTTCTGACAATGTATCAAATTTATCATATTTGAATTGGCTCGCTTCCTCTACTGCTCTCCTTTATCTCCCCCCCCCAAATCTTATAGACGTTATTTGGGTTTAAGAATCTTTTTTCTCATAAAAGCAGTTATGAAGAATATAGCTCTAATATGCGTAAAATAGCCTTTTATGAACCAGTCTGGAGCCTGAGAGCCATTTGATACTGTCTCTGTGGGAACCTTGGTGACAGGCTGCTGGCCTTGTACCTGGAGAAAGAAAAATTCTCCTAAAAGGAACCTTTTTACACCGTTGGCGGAATATAAATTGGTACAGTCATTATGAAAAACAGTATAGATGTTCCTTAAAAATTTTAAAGTGGAACTAGCATATAATCAGCAGTCCTGCTTCTGAATATATATCCAAAAGAAATGAAATGAGTATGTTCTAGAGATACCTGTTCTCCCACGTTCATTGCAGCAGTATTCACAATAGCCAAGATTTAGAATCAACCTACATGGCCATCAACAAATGAAGGCATAAAGAAAATGTCATATATATACACAATGGAATACTGTGCAGCCTTCAAAAAAGGAGATCCTGCCATGTGCGACAATGCCGTGAACCTGGGGGACATTATGTTATCTGAAATAAGCCAGACCCAGAAAGACAAATAGCACGTGATCTCACTTACACGTGGAAGCTATAAAAAGAGTCAATTCATAAAAACCGAGGGTGGAAGGGCCAGGGGTGGGGGAAATGGGGAGATGTAAATCAAAGGGTGTAATCTTGCAGTTATAAGATGAATAATTCTGCAGTCCCAATGTATGTCCTAGTTCCTAGTGTCTTTGCTTAATAATACTATATTGAGAATTTGAAATTTGCTTGGTGAGTAG